GAAATAACTACTCACACAGGACATTAGAAAAGGAATTATCAATGGTTAGCACAAAGTGTTTATGGTGGAAAGTGTATTTGATGTCACAATGCAGTGTCAGTGAGAAATGTTTGTACTTTACCTGGCTTAAAATTGAGAACTACCGAATAGTTTTGAGAACATGAAAGGAATTAATGGAATGGTATTTTACTAACAGTAATCAGATAATTTCTTCCAGTGTGATTTACAGAATAGAATGTCATAGATATGAATTTATTAACTATTATTAATTGGAAAGCTGTGAAAAGGAATGACAGTTTGAACCAGGCTGACAGAAACTCATAGAAAAAAGAATTTAAAGTTGAAGTAAAATTTTGATAGGTGTATAATTTTATACAATCTCATTTAACATTTAGAACAACTCTCAAAAGAGATTGCTATAATTATTAGTTTTACAGAGAAAAGAGTCAAAGTGATAAATTAATTCCCTTAACATCAGAGACTGGTATTTGCAGATCTAGGGCATGAGCTTAGTGTTTTAAATAAAATTCATGATCTTTTTCTCATACTACATTTCATGAATCACTCTTTAGGAAAAAGCTACATGATTTGAAAACATGAATTTGGAGCATAAGGGAGTACTACCTAATGTACACCTTCATAGAAACAAAAAATTCAACTAGTGTTTGATATACTGATTTGACAGTGACATAAATCTTCCTGTAAGTGTTAGACTAGCCATTTGAAAAATGAGTTGACACTTAGCTGTAATCCCAGTATGCTGGGAGATTGATGCAGGAAGATCTCAATCTCAAGCCCAGTCTGGGCAATTCAGTGACTTAGTGAGGCCCTGTTTCCCCCAAAATATTTGATTTTATATGCATTTGAATAATAACTGATCATGACAGTAAATGAAACTCCAAGAGATTAAAGATAGCCAAATATACAACTTTTACTATCCTGCAGTTCAAGAAAGTGAAGAATTCATGCGTACACATGTGAGAAAGAGAGAGACATGGGACTGGGAATGGAAATCAGAGAGGAGACAAATTCAGGTGGGAAGACATACAGAACAACATTAAAACAAAAGGATTTGGCTCCAAGAACAGCTCATTCTCATGAGTGCACATACACAATCCGTCTCATCACAAACAAATTTTCCTATTAAGTTTTAATGGACCTTTCAGTATATATACTTAGAAGTATTCATTAAATTGTTATTTTTCAAATATTTTATTAGTTATAATTTTAATATGTGGGGATAGCATGTAAAAACTTATTCACTAAGCCCTTGATATGTATCTCCAAGTGTGCAAAAATATTTCTAACAATAACGTTTGAAATCTTGATTTTCCTGAGTCCATTCTTAATATAACCAATTTCTTGGAAGACATGATGTGGCTATTATATTGTACTACACTGTGAGTGTTTACTGACATAATTTTTTATATTTTCATTTGTATTTATTCTAAATACACTGTAATGGGAAAAGAATCATTGTAAATTGTGTTATCAGCATTCACTTTCTTTTTTTATTTAAATTTTTAAGTTTCATTCACAAGTTGGTTTTAATGTCATTGTACCTTTAGACTCTACCTAAGAGATAGTTTTTACTTAAATTGATGATAACCTTGTACCCAAACACAATCCATTATAAACATACTGTACACAGGATTGATATCTGAATTTTAATATTAAAAAATAATTTACTCGGTGAATATATGCATGTATTCTCCAACTATGTCTGATATTTGACCCTAGCAACAATACCGCAAAGTGCAATGAACATACCAAGGACCTCAATCTTGGTTTCTAATACAATTTCTCCAGTGAAAGGAACACAGATTGACTGGAGAAATGGCTGCTCTACACAAGATGAACTTAGGAGCTCCTTGTAGTGCTAGAAAGTATGGAAATGATTAAATTAATACCCATAGAGTTGAAATGTTAAAGGGGCACAGTAACCAATCATAAAAGCTCCTTACAACCAAATCTAGAATAAATTAAGCAACAGAATGATTAAGGTATTCTTGGTTTATAAATCAAGTATAAAGCAAAATTCCATGAGCTGACAGTGATACAAATAAATGATATGTATATGCACACAATCTCTATAATTCTATTAATTCCTCAAAAACTATATTATTATAAAAATAATAATTCAAGACAACATTTTTAAACGTTTATGGAAATAATTATTTTGGGAGCCCGAAATAGCTTAACATAAGCGCTAACATTTGTACATAGAACTTTCATGTACATTATTTAATTTAACACTGTGAAGAGAGTTCTGTGGCATGAACATCATTATTGCTAGTATTAATATTATTTTCATCCTTACTTTGGAGAAGAAAATTGATGTTTAAGAAGCGCTAAGGTTTGTATCGAAATGTTCTCCAGAAGCTTATGTGGTGACAACTTGATCCCCAAATGTGGCTGTTTTCAGAGGTTGGCTTTGGGAAAGCAGTTGGGTCATAGGGGCTCAGAGTTTACCAATGGATTAACACACTGGTGAGCTCATAATCTGAGGGCTATTGGGAAGAGATGAAAATTTAGCATGTGGGAGCTAGTTGAAGGGACAGCTTTCTTGTATGACATGCACTTGAGCACCATAGCTTGTTCTGGCCCCTTTCTCTCTTTCTCCACTCTTGGCTGCCCTGTGGTGAGAATCTTTCTCCCTCCATGCCCTTCCATTATGATGTTTTCTCTCACCACAGGCCCAGAGCTGTGGAGCCAGCTGAATATGGGCTGCAACTAGGAGCCCAAATAAGTCTTTCCTCTGTAATTTGATTTTCTCATTTTGTCATAGCAACAAAACACTAACACAGAAATGTAAAATGACTTGTCCAAGGTCATTCATCAAATAGGTAGCAAGGTTCAAAATTAAATTTAAGCATTTTGACTTCATATCATAAGCTCTTTTCATTTCATCTTGCTACTACCCTTGTGACATAAAGTGGTTAATACAGTGAAGCAAAGGGATGGATATATTCTAATTCAATGGATTCTATTACATCTGACTTAACATGATAATAATTAAAATGGGAACAAGAGAACTGAAATTTATGAGCTCTAGGTGATTACTAAGATCAAGTTAGGCATCACTGTGCTAGCTTTCTTGGTACTGCTGTGGTGGTTTGCTTTTTTAAATTATATTTTCCATAGATAATATCAAGGAATAGACTATAATTTTGTTTATCTTTATATATTTATATTATTGTATTTGTTGTAGCTTGAATGTTATATTTTTATATATTTACATCTTGAGTGCTGTTGTCTTATTTCTTCAATTAGAGAACAGAGTTGTTTCTGCATTTTGAAACCTAGTGGATTTTATGAGGTTCATATTTATAGGATTTTAATATTACAAAATCAGCATTTTGATTATAAAATGTGCCAGTACCTAATACGTTCACTATGTCTAGATAAAAGCATCTCAAAGTAACTGTTACTTGAAGGTATTTTTTTTTTCTTTAGCCAAGTTAGGCTGAAGAAAAATCACATAACAAAATTTTCCTTCTCAGAACTCAACAAACATATTACTTCTTTAGAAACTGTCCTGCTCCACTGTGATATGCATGATGGTAATCATGGTAATTAGATACTGAACATTTAATTGATATAATTAATGTGAATTGAATTATTAGTAGAACAGAGAAAAGATTACAATGAAATGAATTAAATGCAACCTGAAAATTCACCCATTCATGGTGTTGAGATTGATGCTTTTTAGAAGAAATAAATAATAGAGCATCTGAAGTGAAACAATAGACTATTGTTAAACTAGTCATATTATGTGTTAAAAAATAAAAATAAATTTACCAATGTTTGTGTGAGTAAGGAAAATTCTCTAGAAACAAGCAACTTTCTGGACTGAAGTTTGTTCAGAATGTCCCCGCTTCTAACATGATTAGCTATATTCATAACCAGAAAAACAGGACACAACATACAAAATTTACCTAATTTTGGAGTTCCGCATTTGATTTATTTGGGCATAATTTGGTAGTGTTCAACCTGGCACTGCCTGCAGGTCCAGCTGGTACAGCTGAGAGTTACTTGTTTGGTTATAGGAGTATGTTTTCTGGGTTGGATACAGAACTTGTTAAAACCTGAGGGGAAATTAAAATGCCAGCACCAATCTGGGGACCCATTTCTTACCCGGAATTACAGAGTAGCCACCTAGCAAGGGATTAGTGAAGTATAATATACTGCATGAAACTGGATATAAGTAATGAAATGACCTGCTATTAATTACAGCTGAAGTTAATTTTCTGATCCTAACTTATGGTTAGAAAACTATTACTGGAAGCAAAAAAATTAATGGACCATGTATTTATATATTTTCCAGCATATATCAATTTTTAAAATTCAAAGATATTAAGCCTGTCTGTATTTGTGTGGGCATTTAAATTCTACCATGCGTGATATTGAGAATTCATGTAGGCAATTTTCATTATTGTAAGTGCAACAGCCACCACATTATCCTAAAAAGCAAAAAGTAAAAGTGGAAATATGTAGTTTCTTCTTGAGCTTGACATATTGTACATAAAATTGCAAGACTCTCATATTAGAGATTAGTCAAGAAATATTTCTGATGTGTAGTGAGTTATTCATAGAGATGTTTGAGAAAGTAACAATTTAGACTTATTTTGAAGCAGAACTAGTGAGTTTATGTATAAAGACATAATTATGATATCCATAAGAATCAAAAAGAGCATGGCATTTTGAATTCTATGCTTGCATACATCGCAATTATTACTAGGGTGAAGCATAAGTTATTATATTTTCTTTTGCAAGAAATACTAACCATGACTTTTCACTTTACTGGAAGATTAGGCAACAATCAGCATCAACTACTTCCAGATTAGAGAGGAAATTTTAATTAACTTTAATGCATTGTGTTGCTTTTAGAATTTGTTGTTCAGAAATTTCCACTAGATGTGTATATACACACTAGGAAAAAATATTGTTTTCTTACAATGATGTGATAAGCCATATTCACATTCTCAATTCCCTTTCAGATTATATACACAACATCCTGATGAAATGAATACTCCCAGGTCTGAGGAGCACTTTCATGCTATAAACCATGCAGAGCAAACTCTCCATAAAATGGAGAACTACTTGAAAGAGAAACAACTGTGTGATGTGTTGCTCATTGCTGGACATCTTCGAATTCCAGCTCACCGGTAAGTACCGTTACACAGACTATTTGGACGGTAGGGCAAGTATGAATGAGGGAAAATAAATACACAGACCATAAATTTGAATATAGTAAAGCTTTAATATATATGATCCATTTCTCTGTATCATATTTAGTTCAGAAAATATTGCAGAAATTAGTAAAACAATGCTCTCAAAAAAGATCAATTTATTTATTTAACTTTTCCAAATTCACTACACTTTACTGAATTGTGAAAATTTTAAGCAGAAAATAGACTAAGCAGTCATGCAAACTTAGTGAATTCATTTTATGCTTTCAGTGAGATTATCAGCTTATGTAAATATTCACGAATCATTTCTGTTTCTAGGTTGGTTCTTAGTGCAGTGTCTGATTACTTTGCTGCAATGTTTACTAATGATGTGCTTGAAGCCAACCAAGAAGAAGTCAGGATGGAAGGGGTAGATCCAAATGCACTTAATTCTTTGGTGCAGTATGCTTACACAGGTATGCACTGGATATGTGTTAAACCATAAATATACTACCTCATAAAACATACGTTATTTCCAACCTACAGGTGAGGCAAATGAAAGATAATCAAATAAGTAACTATCCTAAGGTTCTAAGAAAGCAGAGCAATGACTTCAACTCAATAAAATAAAAGAACAAAATATAAATAATATGTTGTAAAATATTTTTCCCATGGTAGTAGAGAGCTATATTAATATGAAAATACAAGAACATATCTATCTTGAATAAGGTGGGCATATTCTTGCTTTTAAATAGAGTGAAAGTGGAATTTTCTAATTTTACAGTACAGATTTAGGCTTTTCCTTTAGTATAGTGAGGACATACTGACTCAAATTATAAAATAAAAGGAAAAAGAATAATTTTGGATACCAATATATCTTATTTTTTATAATAATTATTCCATCTTTAAGGTCTCCTAGTATGTTTAATTTTAATTTGTATGAATACATTTTTGTAATACATGATGACTATATTCAGTGTGGGAACTTAGTACATTGCACATCTCAAATTCTTTTTATGTCCCCTTTGCCTCTCCTTCCAACCCTCTCATTATCATCTCTTTATCCCTGTCCATTTTGCAAAAGACCTATCTCCCTAATTCCTATTACCTATCTTTTATTTTGCTGTTTGTTTAAGCTTTGGGTTTCACATGTAAGAGAAACAATAAAATATGTCAGTTTGTGTGTCTGCTTTATCTCACTTGCCTTTATGATCTTAAGGTATAACCATTTTTTTACATATGTCTCAAATCTGTCTTTCTTTATGGCAGACTAGTATCCCATTGTGCATAAACATGAGATATTTTTATTCATTTATCTGGTGATGGACATATATGCAACCTCCAAATTTAGATATTATGAATTATGTTACTGCAAACATGGAATTGCCTGTGCCATTGTAATATGGTACCTTTAACACTGTTAGGAAGATTGCTAGAAAAAGAATAAATCCTTCATATTTACATACATTTATTTAATTTGTATGCTCTCCTAAGAACTAAAATATTACTATTTGACTTTCTCAAAAATTTTAAAAACATTGTTTTCAAATATTTTTCTTACACTGTCATTGAAAAACATTTGAAAAATTATCTGCGCTCCTTACATTTTTCCTTTGGTGACTAAATTTTTTGTACTTTTAAATAGTTGTAAATTTTAAAATGCCTAATACAATGTACACATTTATAACTTTTAAAATACTGAATTCAATTGCACTTAAAGTATATCTAGTTAAATCTAAACACTAAAACTATGATGTGAAACACCGTCCATTTAAAATTATGTTTATACAACGATTTCTCAAGTTAAATATATTACCTATATAACTCTACCATTTCAACTTCTAAGTATGTACCCAAGAGAAGTAAAAGCATGTCTAAGCAAAAATGTTTACACAAATCTTTATGTCAGTATTATTGATCATAATTAAGTGGTATAAACAACCTAAATATTTGTAAACTGATTAATAAATACATTACATTCCACATGTACATACCATCAGTTATTAATAAGAAATAATGAAGTACTGATGGATGAACTTTGAAACCTCATGTCAAGTGAAAAAGTCATATCACAAAAACAACTTTTTCCATTCGTATTGAGCATCAAAACTGAAAGAAACCATATAGGTGGAAAGTGGTTAGTAATTACAAGAGTATAGGGAAAATTGGGAGCAGATGTCAACAGGTACGGACTGTACTTCTCTTAGTTTCACAAGACATTGGAAGTTCTCTTCTTTGAAAATCTAGGACAAGAAAATGTATAGATGGATAGAACCTGTTTACAGCATATTGTCCAGATTGATCTAAGTACACAGCATGTTAGAATATATTACTATTTTCTGTATTGTTATGCAACCTATAGGACCCATACATATGTAACTTCTGTATCATTTTCAATCCCTGTAACTCTCTCCATAGCTTTTTCTTCCCCTTCCACAGGATCCTTTTTCCATCTCAAAAGTCTTACTTTTTTTTCCTACCACCTCTCCATTATTTTGCTTTTTTTATTATAAAAAGAATAAAAAGATAACAAATTAACAAGTTTTCTCATATATGAGAAACCATATGATGTTTAACTTTTGTTTGATCTAACATTATGTTCTCAAGTTCCAGTAATTTTCTTGAAAATGGAATGATTTCACTCTTCTTTATGGGTGAATAATATTCATGTATATGGATTCTGCCAAAAATGTATACATATTTCAGGAAATGAAAAACTTATATAAATACTTGGATACTAAATTTATTGAGACATTATGAGAGTAATATAAGTTACCTTTGGCCTCTACAATTACAGGAAGTGCTCCAAGTGGTGCCCACTAGCTTCCAGACATTTATTAGTGAAGTGAACTGCTGCCTGTGTAACCTTGGTCATTGAGATTACTGCATTTTCAATTTCTTCTCTAAGTGCTGGCAGTGTAGTCGGGTTTCTTCCATATGTGAATTCTCTGGGGGCCCCCATAGGAGGGTAGCATCATTTGTTGAAAAAGCATCATACTAGTTTTCATTTCCTGAAATGTGTATACATTTTTCGACAGAAATCATATTTTTCTTTATCTGTCTTTTGATATCTATTGATGAGTATCTATGATGTTTCCAGGGATTAAGTATTGTTAATTGTGTTGCTATAAACGTGGGTATGCACATATAACTATAGTATGATGTTTTTAACTCTTTGGGGAAAGTACCCAGGAAAAGTAGAGCTGGCAAATTGTAATTTCTATTTTTAATTTTGTGTTTTTGTAGTCTATTCTTTTCAACATTCTCCTCCTTTGAGATAGTGCCAGAGTTCAATTTCATACATAGTATTTGAGAAATGACAATTATCAGATGACATGTGCATATACAGGAAATATGGACACAGAAAGTTGGATATTATCCTTATTTACCAGAATCTTTAATGCCACACAAAGGACAGTTATGTATATGGCCAATTTTCAGATCTTACATAGTATAGCATTCCTTGAGTAACAATGAAAACAATTTTGCTAGATTTCTTTAGGTGTGACTGATGTTGAAAATTTTATTTAGGGTGCTGTTTTTATGTATGTGTATATAAGGAGTGATCAAAATTTATGCACACTTAAATTATGAAAATATTTCACAATAAAAGAATTTTTAATGAGGAAGATCAGGTCTTTACTGAAAAATCATTGAAAAGCACACAGCAGCAGTCCTTTAATACATTGCCAAGCAATTCTTAGGGGCAGAGCACCTCTCTCAAAAGTTCATTGCATACAGTAACATCTGAAGTTGTGTGGGCATCGCTGAGGCTCACAGCTGCTCTCCTCTGGAGGTGTGGGGCTAGAATCAGTGCACCTCACTGCATTTGCAGCTTTTTGGTAACGGAAAGCAACTGGCTTAATGCTCATGGTGGCAGGGTGGGAAAAGGTTTCAACAAGCAGGCCTTGTTCCTGCCACCTCTCGGGGCACCTGGGATGTACTCTCAGACCCAATGGCCACCCCAGGTGACTCCTGCCATTTAGGCACACTGGCTGTGGGTGTGGAGTACCTCTGCTTCTAGAGGCTTTGGTGTTTTAGGCATAGGTGTCTTGGCCTTCCCTCACAGGGACTCATCCTGGGGAGAGAGGAGATGTGTTGCAGCTGCTGGCACCTCTCTACTGCCGCCTCTGTTCTATTACACAATCCCTCCAGCTTTCTAGCTTGGCAGATTACCATTAAGCAGCCCCCCTCACTTTGAATACACTTATTTCATCTTTGTTGTCATTTTCTGAAACATCTTTTCTGAGTGTCTTTAGGAAGTGTGGTCAAAAATACCACTGTTGCTGAGTGCTATCCAGTGGAAGTACAGGCTCATAAAAGCATTATGATGTATCCTCTTCAACCTTATTTCCAGTTTTGACACAGATTTCGGGCTCTTATTCAAAGTTAAACTAACCATGAAAGGCAATCCTTTAGAATTAACTGAAGACTTTGAGGCAGCCATCACCATACAAAACATGAAAGAGGACTTTTAGAACTGCTTCAGATAGTGTCAGGAACCATGAGATGTGTATTTAAAGCAAGGGAGATTATTTTGAGGGTGATTAATTTTAATGCGTCTTTAATCTTTTTTAATTTAAATCTTCACTATATTTTGCTATTATACCTATAACACAGTTAAATTATCGATTTGAGATTCAAATACAGGCTTAAGAAATTGTATCTTTTTGTAAGAGACAGTCTTTTTTGTCTGTCTTGCATTCTGTGTAAATAAATATAAAATTATGATACACATATTAACTATTGTTATTCTTTTAATACTTTGTTCAAAATTTTGTTTGTTTGTTTTTTTTTTTTTTTTTTTTTTGGTTTTTCTCTGGTACCGGGAACCGAACTCACAACCTTCCGCTTGCCAGGCAGGCGCTTTGCCGCTGAGCTAAATCCCCAGCCCCTCAAAATTTTGTTTTATTTTTTCATAAAATAAAAAGGAAATAACAAGTTACTCTCTACTGTAATTATCTTGGTTTCTTTTCTGTCATTGCTGGGACAAAATACCTGATGCTCGGAATTAAGGAAGGAAAGGTTTATTTAGCTCACAGTTTGTGGAGATTTCAGTCTATACCGGGTTGGCTCCAAGGCCAAGTGTCACATGGCAGATGGCAACAGTTCTTGGCTGTTCCAAAACAGCAAAAACAGCAAAACAGGGGCTGGGGATTTAGCTCAGCGGCAAAGCGCCTGCCTGGCAAGCGCAAGGTCGTGAGTTCGGTTCCCGGTACCGGAGAAAAACCAAAAAAAAAAAAAAAAAACAGCAAAACAAAAAGGGTGGAGGAGTAGCCAGCAAGCCTCTTTCCCTCCCTTACATTGTATGCAAGCTACTTGCCCGAGGCCGGCTGTAGCACTCACACCTATAATCCCAGCAATGGACCATGAATTAATGAAAAATTCTAAAAGTCCACTCCATGACTGCACCACACTTTGGGAGACATCTACACACAAACTATAACAGTAATGATAGTACTCATGGTTCATTTGTGTTATGGTTTATGTCTGTGTGTCCCCCTCAAAGCCTCCTGTGGCCCTGGGGCAGGCTATTAGAGTTTGAATATGGGTGTGAGAGCGGCATCCGCCTGGGAGTGGATAGTTTGCATATGTAAGGGACAGGAAAAGAGTGTTTGGGGCATTCCTCCCCCATTCTGCCCTGGTGTGTGGGTCCTGGTAGTCGCTTGGCTGTGCTGCCGCCCTGGGATGCAGCCCTCTGCCACGTGCCACTCTGCCTTATAATCATGCCTAGTACGGATTGAAACCTCCACAAACTGTAAGTGAAATAAACCTTTCCTTCCTTAATTTTGGTCATCAGGTATTTTGTCCAAGCAGCGAGAAAAAAGTAACCAAGACAATTTGGTAGAGTTTTTTGATAATCTACTCTATCCCCCTTCAGCCTTTTTGTTGGTGTTTACCCAGACTCACTTGTGTATGTAAGACTCAAACAATATTTACACATTAGCTACTGTACATTAAAATGCATAGCCTTACTGCATAATTGAAAAGGAAATTTATATTAGCTACTATATTTATATATTACTTTATAAGATATATAACCATTCTTTAATTTTTCAAACAATTTAGGTGCTCTGCAACTGAAAGAAGACACAATTGAAAGTTTACTGGCTGCAGCTTGTCTTCTGCAGCTGACTCAAGTCATTGAAGTCTGCTCCAGTTTCCTCATAAAGCAGCTCCATCCATCAAACTGTTTAGGAATTCGGTCATTTGGAGATGCTCAAGGATGTACAGAGCTCCTGAATATAGCACATAAATACACTATGGTAAAATCAGTTATTTCAAAATAGCTTGTAGTATCAATATATGAATACTGGGAAAATGTTAAAAGGCAAAATAAACATAATTTTCAGGTGAGAAATATGCATTTTTTTCATTGCTGCCATCAAAAAGGTTTGACTAAATATCAACATTTGTAGAAATGAGCATACTGCTAAAAAGTGTGTTGTGCAAGAGTATAGCCCAAGCTGGATCTATTAGTTCTCTGTTGTTTAGCATAATTAGAAATTTAGTATGTAAACCTACAATTTATTGGTTTCTAAGGAGAGTTGAACCTCATGCAGTAAGGAAATTGGTAATATTAATGCACCAATATTAATTGCAAGAACTTAAGAACTGAAGAACTTTGTAGCTCAGAAAATTATATGAATACACTTTGTCTGAAAAAATGAATTTTAGGTAAAATATTTTGCAATTCAGTCTTTTGATTTAAACTATGTTAAAGTTCCTCTCAGCATTAGTAGTATTTATACTGGATCAACTGAATATGACAGTGTGTAGTAATTATTTAAAACTTTAATCTGGTAAATAGATCTTTATTCAGTCAGATGACAATCACAAAAAACAGGTTGCAAGAACAAAGGTAAACTGAGTAGATGATAAAAAGTAAGGTGGGAGATATAGCTTAGTGGCACAGTGCATGCCTGGCAAGTGCAAGGTCCTGAGTTTGATTCCTGGTACCAAAAAAAGTAAATCCTCATTATTAATATTAATACTTAATGCAAAGAAGAAAATGAACTTTTTAAATCTCTGAAACAGTGAATAAAAAAAGATGGATTTTTCTACAGAATATAATTTTTTTTTTTTTTTTTTTTGGTTTTTTCTCCGGTACCAGGAACCGAACTCAGGACCTTGTGCTTACCAGGCAGGCGCTTTTGCCGCTGAGCTAAATCCCCAGCCCCCTCTACAGAATATAATTTAAAGATAAATATTTCTAACAAAAGAAATGGCTTCAGATATCTAATATATAAAGAACTGAGAAAAACAACTCCCTCCAAATTTAAAGTCCCTATCTAAAATTGAGCATCTGAAATGAATACATACTTCTCAGATTGGGTAGTATAAATGGTAGATAAATATATGAAAAAATATTCAACACTACCGGCAATTCAAAAGATACAAATTAAAATAATGCTGAGATTCCATCTCACCTCAGAAACAATCACTATTATCCAGAAATCAACCACTAACTAGTGCTAGCAAGGCTATGGGGGAAAGGGAACCCTTCTTCACTGTTGGTCGGAGTGCAGACTCTGAAAATCAGTTATGGAGATTACTCAAAAGTCTAAGACTGGACTTTCCATTTGACCCAGCTACACCCCTTCTTTGTATCTTCTTAAAGAATTAAAAGCATCATACCACAGTGATGCACGCCCAAGTTAATAGCAGCGCAGTTTGTAATAGTTAAGTCTTGGAAACAGCCCAAATACCCAGTAACTGATGAATGGATAAAGAAAATGTAGTATTTTTATACAGCCACAAAGAAGGACAAATTTGAAACATTTATAGGAAAATGAATGTAGCTAGAGACCATACTCTTGAGTGAAATAAATTGGACACACATATATAAATATCTCATTGTTTCTCTGCTGTAAGAAACTGAAAGTGTACATAAAAACCCAAATGTATAATAGATATTGTGAAATAGGAAGGAAATGTTTAAATGGGAAAAAGAACTAGGGAGGAGAACCATGAAAGGAAGAAAGGTAAAGGAAGAACAAAATGAGAAAAGAAGAATAAGATCGAACCAAAGCTTTTGGAAATAATGAGGGAAAGAGGAATGAGAAAAAAAGAAGAATGAAGCTATATCATGTATAGGTTCAAATTACCTATTATGAATGTAAGCATGTGTGAAAATTGTACCAATAAATTTATTTAATTAAAAAAATTAAGAGGAAAAAATGAAATAAAATTGCCAGCAAGAGAACACTAGAGAATTTCATGTGAAATTGATAAATAAAATTACCTTTATTTTAGATAGAGATGAAAACCAACAGAATTTTTCTAGTGTGTTAAGAAAATTTAAATGTTTTTAAATTTATAAAATTTTAATCATGTAACACTTTCTTATTAATCTTTCTTCTTCCTTCTTCTCACCTTAGTTCATTGTTTAATATCTGAAGTTTCAAACATATTCCTGAAACAATGTAATTATATGGAGATTCATATTATAATGGATTGACTTTTTAAAGTATTTCCCATTATTGTACTATTTATAGTCTCTTGTCCTAAATACAGATATCATATAATCTAAAGGAAAGGCAGATGTGCAGTTCACAGTTTAATCCAACCAGAAAGGCAAACACAGAGACTTCCTGTTCAATTAAAATCTTGAACTATTAATACTTTCCTTTCTGGTAATTTATGCTTAGAGACAAAGCACATTCTAATGCACAGCTTGAATTGTTTTTCTTGCTCAAAATAAACTTATCTTCCTTTATATATTGTACCTGAAACTGAATGGCAAAGCATGATATGCAGAAAAATGCATAATATGCAGAAAAATGCATAATATGCAGAAAAATGCAAGTGGTGTCTCCCTTAATAGCACTTCTTTAGTTGTGTTAGTATATATTTGAATACAGTACAATAGGTAAAGATCTTGTTATAAGAGTGCTTTTGAAATTCTGTGTGTTACCATAATAATTTAAGTAGTTTTAATGTTTAAATGTAATATATATTTAGGGATTATAATCTTGTGAGTTGATAGACTGAGTAAAGATTCCCTTCTAAATGTGGGTGGCCTCAATGAAGAAACACCCTCACCCAGAATAATGTTGAGTCAAATGTCTGGGCAGATTGAGGCCTACTCATATTGACATAAAGAATTAACTGTCTCAACCATATAAACAGTTGTCTGTGTCAGTGAATCATTCTGTTAGTATTCTCTCTCTCTCTCTCTCTCTCTCTCTGTCTGTCTCTCCGCTTCTGTATGTATATATAGATATATAGCACATTTTAAACAATTCAATTATAAATATAAAACAATAAATAAATGGTGAACAAAAGGCATAAAAGAAGATTGCTGAGAAGGTACATAGAACAAAAGTATTTACTTTCAAATTAAAAGCAAAATAATTTTAAAATCAAGCAATTTAAAATTAAGCTTCAAGTCTAATGTTTTCTCTACAGTAGAAGATACTATATTGCATAATTTTAACCCATACATTTGTTTTTTATTTAGACTAATCTACATTGTCTAACAATTTTCAATAGCCTAAGCAACTCTGAGGACAACAAATTCTGTCAGAAAATCTAATTTCTGGCTACATGAAATATGACTCCCACATTAATGATTTGTAATCATGTTTTTACTGACTCAAATATATAATAAAATTTAATTTACTAGTCTATGATCCATACTGGCCATTAAGTAAGTCTTATACAATGAGATATTCATTTTTTGTCTTTCTTTTCTTTTTCTAAAAAAAAAATATTTTACTGGAGAATGCAAAGATAGTGAGTCAGTGTTTTTTATCATATTAACACAGTCTCAGGATCTATGTATAATAACACTAATAGATAACTATAAATGTTACAGTATTCAATGGTTTCAATCATTTCATAAATATGTTATCTCCCACAAAAAGCAGTTACAGAATTGAACAGTATGCACTTTGCATGATCTCAGGAGCTTGTGTTTTGTGTCCAGACTTTGCCACTGACTTCACAGAAGATCAAACAATGGGCATTTCCTGCCTTTTCACCAGAGTAACTTCACTTCCTCAAAAGATCTCATTGGCAAAGAGCTAATTCTTAAGAATTTACAGTATTTTGTGAAGCATTACTGTGTACAAGTGAACTGCATTAGTAATAATAAAATTACTACCATTATTTTGTGTGAGAGGATTTTTAACAAAAGCCGCCTGCTTTAGTAAGAGCAACTATTCTTTGGAAAATGATTGCCTTAATCCCAAAAGTTTTTTTTTTTTTAATAAATAGGCAAGTTATTTTGAAATTTATGACATCACAGCTTCATTATTGGTTTGTCAATTTTGATTATTGTTGTATGGATAATTCTGATATTAGCTGAACTCAGTTATGTAGTGAGTGAACTCAGTTATGTAGTGAATAAACTCAATGCAGAAGGGAGAGAATGATTTAATGTATTCAGATCCCCCAATAATTCAGAGGTTGTCTTAAACTATTCCCAAAATATTTGATTATTATTAAACAAATTACCAAGTAGACATGTCAATCTCCATTTTAGAAGTATTTTTTTTTGTTTTAAAGTTGCTTTTTGGATATTCATGGTTCTTTAGTGCATGTTTGCAATGCATAGTGATTACATTTATTGCGAGAAGTTGGTACATGTACATAACACACCTTAATTCCTTTTTGTCCCCTATGCATTGCATTCTTCCCTGCCCCTTCCAGCCTAGTCCCACTCCCATTTGCAAAAGCTGTATTTGCGTACTTTTCTTTGAATTTTTTCATCCACTTGCCGACCCCTCTCTCCCCTCCCTCCATACCTTGTTCCACCATCCATTTGAAAAAGATTTCCCTACATTCTATTTATCATATAATATACATATGTTTGAATTTTCAAATGAACTACATTTTATTGGATTTAAAATGATATCTTCACTATGAAAAATATTACAAATGATATATTTTAGAAACCATAAAATATTTATGTACAAAATATGTTGGTATTTTGATACAAAATTTGAAACATAGCTGTGTGAAATTTAAAATATGAAAGAATACATGACAATATCAGTATAAAAAGGAGAATTGATGTATAATGTCTAAAAATTGAGATGTATCCCTTTCCTCTCGTAAAGAAACACTTTAATCTTGGAATAATGGTGCACATCTGTTCTCCCAGCACTCTGAGAGGTTGAAGCTAGAGGGTTGCAATTTTGAGGGCAGCAAGACAGCTTAGCAACTTAATAAGATCCTGTGTGAAAGTAGAGAGAGAAAGAAAGAAGAAAGAAAGAAAGAAAGAAAGAAAGAAAGAAAGAAAGAAAGAAAGAAAGAAAGAAAGAATGATAGAAAAAAAAAGAAAGACTGGCTGCAGAAAAAGCTCAGTACAAAGGATCTGAGTTCAATCAGAAGTACCACATAAAAGGGAGACAAAGAAGAAGCACCTCATAGTGGAATCTCTTTTAGATGATCTTGAATGTGTTGATTGTAATGCAACATAAAATATTACATTTATTTTGGCTGATAGAAGATCAGTATTTTCCTTAATAGGAAAGTGTCTTCATTAATGCTGTATCTTTTTCTCATGTCAGAAAAAAAAAGAAAAACTGTTACTGTGTAAAACAAAAAAAGAGACTTAACTCTCCCATACATTCATGACAGCCTCCTCCTTCAAAACTTTCAGAATTTCTCTTGGGATTTTAGCTAAAGATCAATTAAGTAATCATTTCTGAAGTCATAAGCTGTTGCTGTTTTGAACAATAGATAAAAGAGAAAGTATTGGTATGCTGGGGTGGAGATACAGCTCAGCAGCACAGCACGTCCTGGAAAGCGCGAGGTCATGAGTTCAATTCCCTTCACACACACAAAAAGAAGTATTGGTATCATTTTGTCAACAGAGCTTGTGAAGCAATTAGCACTTTGTTTGAAATCAATGAATAATCCTGAGTGGAAGCATTTACTCCCTCTGCTTCCAAAAGCTTCCACATTCCTTTCATAGGTGACAATAGCACCAATCAGCTATAAGTGGATGCATCTATCACTCTGACTTTTTCTCAAAGCAGGCCAAGTGAAATGTTTTGATATGCTTTTTTTATTAAGAAATTTCTAAAGTACAAAGTTTCAGTAGATAACCTTTCTTTTCTAGGAACATTTCATTGAGGTTATAAAGAACCAAGAATTTCTCCAGCTTCCGGTTAATGAGATTTCAAAGCTTCTGTGCAGTGATGACATTAATGTGCCTGATGAAGAAACCATTTTCTATGCTTTAATGCAGTGGGTGGGCCATGATGCTCAGACTAGGCAAGGAAACCTGGCAATGCTGCTTTCATACATCAGACTTCCATTACTCCCACCACAGGTATGGAAATTTGCCCAGGTGATATGAACCAGAGCTCTAAACTACCCCTAGGCACCAATTCATTCCTTAGTTCCCTAGTTTTTGTTTTTGCTATTTTGTTTTTATTTTTATTAGTATATGTTTGCAGTACATAACGGTTGCACTCATGTGAAGAGTTGGTACATATACATAGTGTGACAAGACATGGCATGTACATAACATGTCTTAATTGTTTTTCTTCTTTTTCCCCTCCCTTCCCTGACCCCTCCTTCCATCTCTTGGTCCCCTTCCCTTTTGCAAAACTCTATCTTCCTGCTTCCTAATATCTTTTGTTTTACCATTTACACTTTTGGTTTCTCATTTTAAAAAGAAACCATGAAATATTTAACATTATGTGTATGATTTATTTCACTTCCCATTATGGTTTTAAAGTGTATCCCTTTTCATAGAGATGAATTAAGCTTAGCCTTCTTTATTGTAGACTGGTACTCCACTGTTTGTAAATTCCACATTTTCTTTATCCATTCATCTGTTAGTGAACATATAGGCTTCTTCCAAGATTTAGCTGTTATGAGTTGTGCTGCTATAAACATGAGTGTGCATCATTACAATATGATTTCTTTAATTCTTTTGGGAAAACACCTATACAGATAATGTCTGGGTCTCGTGGAATTTCTATGTTTAGTTCTCTGAGGAATTAAACTTCCACACTGATTTCCATAGTATCAATCCTCCATTCTGTTCATTTGTACTTTGGGTTTGTTAAACAATAGAAACAGTGCAATGTTTAACCTTCTGTGTCTGATTTATTTCACATTAGATTATATTTTTGAGATAAATCCACTTACTCAAAAATATCTCAGATTTGTTATTTTATGACCAAGTAATACTCCACTGTAAAAAATTACTCCATTTTCTTTATCCATTCATCTGTTGCTGGGCATAAGGGCTGTATCCAAAATTTAGCTATTAAATTGCGCTGCTATAAACATTGCTATATATCACTGTGGCATAATTATTTTAACTCTTTTGGGAAGGTACCAAGAAAGAGACTAGGTGGGTCAAATGGAAGCTCTACTTGTAGTTTTATGAGGCATCCCCATACTCCTTTCCATAGTGGTTGTACCAATTTATACTCCCAGCAACAATGGAGAAGGGTTCCTTTTTCCTCCCAGCCTCAACAGCATTTGTTGTGGTTGATTTCTTGGTGATAGCTATTCTTTCTGGACTGAGATGGCATCTCAGCATTGTTTTACTTTGTATTTCCCAAATGACCAGCAATGTTAAACATTTTTTCATGTACTTATTGCCAAAATGTCTCATCATTTTAGATAATCATTTCTTGAATAGGTCTTTAAATTGGGGGGACTAATATTTTTGAGTTCTTCATATATTCTAGATATAAGTCTTCTGAATGAGGCATATTTAGAAATTTTTTTCACTATTGGTAGCTTGTTTCTTCACTCTGCTGTTTCCTTTCCTATGCAGAAGCATTTTAATTTGATAATACTGTTTGTTGATTCTTGATTTATTTCTTGTGGAGTTGGAATTCTGTTCAGAAAATTCTTGCTTATGTCTGTGTCTTCAAGAGTTTGACTATTTTATCTTCCAATAGATTAAGTGCTTCTGTTTTAATACTTAGATTTTTGGTACATTCTGATTTTTGTGTATTACATAGTAAAAGATATAGGTCTAGATACAATCTTCTGCATGTGTATAGCATTTTCCTAGTATTATTTGCTGAAGAGTCTATCTTATTTCCAATGTATGCTTCTGGCCTCTTTGTCAAAGATCAGATAGCTGACTGTGTATGAGTTTGTTTTTGCATATGTTATTCTTTTTCATTATTTTCCACATATCTGCTTTTGTGCCAATTCCATGGTGTTTGTATCACTGTAGCTCTGTCATATAACTTGAATTTCAGGATTATGACATTTCCTACTTTGCTCTTGTTACCCAGGATTGTTTTTGCTATCCGTGGGATGATCTTCGTTTCTTGAGTTCTTGCCCTACTTGCCAGTGAAGAAAGGAGAGGTGGGGATTACTCAAAGGCAAAGATCCCCAAGTGGGAAAAAGTCAGGTAGTCCTGGGTGAAGAAAGAGGAACTAAGAAAACAAAAAGTAATATGAAGCAGAGGTTTATTAATAATATGGTAGAAGAAGGCACTGACAAACAGTGAAATGTATGGCAAGGAGAAGCTCAGGAGGTGAGCCTCTCAGCATGTCTTTACCTTGGCCATATTTATTGGGGTAAGCTGATTTTCTATAAGTAACTGTTTCACTGATTGGTACAATAAGGGTCTTAACATTTGTTTCTAGAGTGATCCAAGGTTCATGGGATGTACAGGCAAGTGGCAAAAGTATGCAAAGTTCTCACAAAGGGCAGCCTCTTCCAGTATTTCATGTCATGAGTAAGCATGTGGTTATCTTTATTATGCTAGCTACCCAGGTCATGCTCTACATTGTTTATTCCTCCCTACTTGTTCTTACAGTATGATGTTGGCAGTTGGTTGATAATAAATAACTTTTATCAAATTGAGAAGTTTCTTCTATACCTATTTTCTTCAATGTTTTTTGACTGTACTTTGTTGAGAATTTTTGCATCTATGTTCATTAAAGAAATGGGCCTGTGTTTCTCCTTTTCAGTTGTGTCCTTGTCTTGCAGAATGACTTTGGCAGTATTCCTCTTTCAATTTTGTCAAAGATTTTTAGGATTATTGGCATTAGATTTTCCCTGAATTTCATGTAGAAATTTATGATGAATCCATTGGTTTCTTGTGGAGTTTTAGTTGGCAGTTTTCTTTTTTTTTTAATTGCTGCTTCATTTGCATTGACTGTTATTGGATTTTTCAGGGGTTTTATATATATGGTTCAGTTTTAGTAAATCATATGTGTTTAAGAGTGTTTCTAAATGGATCTATGTCACTGGAGGATATACCATCTTTCAATTACAACTCTTAATAATAGAAAACTAAGAAACAGTGTTATAAAAATGACAAATAATTCTTAAACATCAGAGGACACTTTAATTTTATTTTTCTCTCTGTCCACATAGCACTTGTAACACGAGAGGAAAATGACTAACCTGAACATTTTTATTTTCCTCCTTATCTTCTAAGCAAAGTGAAACTAATATTCATAGTTAGGTCCCAATGGAGGCTGAAAGGTGCATGATATCTATTAACATTTGCAATCAGCTGCTATGACTGAAAGCATGATGTCATACTTTTAGATACACTAGAGTATTATTATAATGTCATCAATACAGACCAAACTGAAGGATCATAGCACAGAATATTCTAAACCTGTAATAACATACTTGGATAAAACCTAACCTTACTCAACTCATACTTAATTTTAGTATGTGAGTTTTAGTGAGGCTTCAGTGATATCCCACTACATAATTTCACCATTGGTGATAACCACATTTTTTTTCTTTATAGTAAACTGATCAATCGGAAATATAATTTATAGTGTATAGAATAAGATATTGCCCAGTGTCTTGATTACTTTTCTCTCATTGTTGAGACAAAATACCCAACACCCAAAATTAGGGATAGAAAGCTTTATTTAGCTCCAAGTTTGTGAAAGTTTCAGTCCATAATCAGCTGGTTCCAAGGCAAGGTGGTATGGCACACTGGAGGCAGCTGAAGACAGCAGATGACAGCAAAAGGAGCAAGAACAAAGGTGGGTGAGTGAGCCTCTTTCTCTCCCATATATTGTAGGCAGGCTACCACTCCTTGGGGGCAGTCCTTTACACACACATAATCTCTGTGCCCTCCTCTTGCACAGGCTAAGGATGTTTACAAAGTAAGGACCCTGGCCCCCTAATAAATCATTTAGTTAAACTTCTCAAGTTGACATAATGAGCAACATTCTAGAGCAGTAAGGCCATTTCCTCTACACCTGAGGATGTATGGGCTGATTTACTTAGTTAAGTTTCTAGACTTCTCAAATTGATACAATGTAACAACCATTACGTCCACATAAATTTTATATTCATCAAATGTGTGGCTAATTTAACAAATATTGTCTGCATCAGAGAGAGGGATCTTGTCTGAATTTATTGGATCAATAGTTCCACAAATGTTAAAATTAACCTGTTTTTCAAAATTAATCTTATGTGATGAAATAGAGTAATGAAAAAAGCTGTTAATTCATTGATAGAATATCTCTCTCTCTCTCTCTCTCTCTCATATATATATATATATATATATATATTTAAGTATATCCCATGAAATTGCATAGTTATTCTTAATAATCTATCATCTTTCTACCTATGATTAAATAATATTCACTGATATCTTGAGTATAACAAATTTTTCCAAATGCAGGGCAATAAAAACACAAAAAAGATAAACATTAAAATACACAGTAAATGTAGTTTAGAAAACTACAGTTCTAAATTTAGAAATGGTAAATGAACTGTAGAATCTATAGAAATTGTGTTTGTGTGAACATGTGTACACTTACACATAATATGCTCCAGAGGGTGTCTGGGTTAATGTGATTTATAAGATTCTCAAAGATATCACCATTTAAAATGTTCCTGGATCAATAGCATGACATTGCCTCAGTGCTTGTTAGAAGCATAATTTTTCACGCCCCATTTAAGACCAACTGAAGCAATTTCTGCTGGCCAGTTTGTGGAATCTATGGTTTAACATGTTTACCATTTGATTTGTAGACACTCACAAATTTAAAATGCAGCGGTGTACTATAACATAAGCCCTTAATTTTATTCTCACTTTGTTCTATTTGAATGTTTTTTACAAAAAGTCAATGAGTTAGAAGTTTTCTTCACTGGGATGAAAGTAAATTTCCAGATTAAGTGTGCATCCAGTGGTACCTTGTCCTTTTACATCTACCTATGCTGTATATCTAGAATATGGATCATGTGAATTTCTCTACATGATGAGTGAGGTTTTAAGTACTTTAGATAAATATTTTAGAAATGAACTATATGAAGATGATGATATATCTGAAAAATATTTTTACAAAAATTACACAGCTTAATCTTCAAACATATTTCCAACAGCATATTCATTTGAAGAAATGCCCGGAGTCTCCTCAGGAAAATCAAAATAGCAATTGATCAGAGATTACAGGTGACTTCAGGACAGAACTGAAATTGCCTGAAGCAAAGCAGGAAATTTCAGAAAAGTTCCAAGAAATGAGAGTAATCCTTCTTTCTACTCAAACAAAACCTGTTTGCTGTTCATCTCAATATACTGTAATACTAGAACCAAAATGCCGAGGAAGTCAATCTAACTTTTGACAACATTCTGAAGTATAGTTTAACTTCTCTCCAATTCATCTCAGGAAAAATAAACCTTGACTTTGTCAGGCAGGTGCTGTAATGCTGAGCTACATCCTCAGCTTTGTCATCTATTTTTTCTTATATCTTGGCTCATTACTAATTCATACATATTAACCCATTTGAAACACACCAACTTTCAGAATACAGAAGAGATTCAGGCTTCTATGAGTAACACTGTTGTAACAGAGCAGGTTTGCATGATCACCACTTTATCACCCCAAATCCACTAAAAAAACCTGCTACTTTCATTAGCTATATCCAGTTGACCAGGAGATGCTTACTTTGAAAAATTGCAGCCTTTCTTTCTGGTTACTTTCACTTATAACTATTTTTGCAGTATTAATGATAAAACCGGGACTTTGTAGTACTAATCAAGAACTCTACCACTGTACCACATCTCCAACTTTTTTGAAACGGTGTAACTAGGCTTAATATTCAATAAATTTCTTTTCTGCCTCAGTATGAGGGATTAACTTGAGTGCCTTGCATTGAGCTACAAACTCAGGGTCTTTTATTTGTTTTGTGTGTGTTTTCAGATAGCATCTCACTGGAAAGCTTAGGCTGGCCTCAAACTTGCAATCATTCTGTCTCAAGCTTCAATGTGCTAAGATGACAGGCATGTGATACCATGCCATGCCTCAGTAACACTTCACTCACACCCTGTTAGAGGATATATGTACATATTCAAAATATGAACACTTTCAATTAAGTCATTAACTACTACTGTGAAGCATTTAGTTACTTTATATAAATGCAAGTAAAATATCTAAGTAACAAAATATTCAATAATATAAATTTTCATTTGAATTAGCTCCAATTTCCTCCCAAATTATATACTTAAAGTATGTTCTTTTTAATGGTGAATTTTTTTTATATGACACACATTGTTACTTTTCAGTTACTGGCAGATCTTGAAAATAGTTCCATGTTTACTGGTGATCTTGAATGTCAGAAACTCCTAATGGAAGCTATGAAATATCATCTTTTACCGGAGAGAAGACCCATGATGCAAAGCCCTCGAACAAAGCCCAGAAAATCAACTGTAGGGGCACTTTATGCGGTGGGAGGCATGGATGCTATGAAAGGTAAAAGGGACAAATTAATTATTTTAGAAGCTATCTCCAAACAAGAAGAGGCTTTTTTAAAACTCTCCAAATTATAAGAGTGGTACTAAAACCATGCTAAGTGAGGGTATCTAAAACTAATTGTCGTAAAAGTGAATTTTATGTGATCTGGCAATCTCATTTTTCTTCTTATCTCATGAGAAATATCCTTTATATAGTGTTGGCAAAACTTTTAGTATATAATTCATTTTATGAAATCCATTTTAATTTTGAATATTCAGTTTGCAATATGATATTCCTTTTTCTACACTACCCCTATATAAGATATAAAAGCAAAATTATCCACTGTCTTTAAGGTTTTAAAAAATGTTGAAAAAACAGGTTGAGCATGTAGGTACAAGAGTAAAATCAGAAATATTAAAAAATTACAAAGAACATTTAAAAGGTATTTCATTTATATATTTTTTTTCTTTTTGGTTTTTGTTCGTACTGGGGATTGAACTCAGGACCTTGTGCTTGCCAGGCAGGTGATTATACCACTGAGCTATATCCCCAACCCTCATTGATATATGTAAATCAACATTATATCAAAAAAGTGACAGTTCACATCCTATCATACAATTATAAAAAGGAATGTATATGCATGTTTTATAGTGTATTATTTCAGTTATTTTTAAATATTTTTGAACTTTTGCCTTTTGATGCCTAGAAAATAGTGCATTCTTCAGTCTTTATTTTCTTCCCTCCTACAATAAACTTAAAATTAGTTGTTAAATACAGATACTATATAAACACCTATTATAAATATAATTCCCACAGTGTTTGTAAAAGAATCTTTAGAAAGTTCTAAGTGTGACACAATCAAAATTTTAAAATTATCTCATGGTAAAAATTGCATATGTTGAACATAAAAGCTATTCAGTAGCATTTTATTTATTAAAAACAATGAATTCTGAGAGACAATATGAAAGAAGACAAGTCAAGGCAGATATAGTAACTTTCAGATCATTTTTAAATGCATGAAGGAAATCACTGTATTCACAACTGCAGGAACTATAGTAGTGTTCCTCACCTATCACAGGAGTTATGTTCCAGAGGCCCCTGCAATAGGTAAAAATCCACAAAGTAGTGTTGTCATACTTATTTTATTATTTGTATGTATTTTAAGGCTTTATAAGCCCTTCCTAACTCCTATAAACCTTTCCCACTCTCTTATTAACCTTTTTCACACTCTTCTAAACACGTTATATGCTCTAAAACACTTTCTACACTTTTAAACCTTCATAATTTTAACATGTAAAATTCTAAATGGGTAGTCAATGTGAAGTGGACAAGGAGAGATGCTGAACATATGGATGCTGAACAGTGCAGGAGAGAAAACAGATCTATGCTATGGTCACTGAACCGATCAGCACCCAGGATACAAAGCACAGTGCTGTGGTTGGCTGCTTTCCATTCCATCAGTCAATAGTGTGCCGTGTACAATCTCAAGTTGGCAGACTTGCGCAATTGGTAGTGGTGTACTGCATTTCCATTGTATACAGTATGGTATTGATCTGCTGATGAAATGCATACTGTATTTTATTTCACTTTTAATATCCTTTTCATATATTTGAATTAACATTTTTTCTATTTTTATAGTTTTAAATTTTTAGGCAGAAGTAATTAAAATTATAGATATTATATAAATACCTATGTACTGCAAAATCCTGTGTTACAGTGAAAACTCCATGATACAAAATTATATACATTTTTTAAAAAAACTGTGATATAGTGAAGCCACAATAAGTGAATCTCGATATAATGGGGGATGACTGTATTGTGACATTTAGTAGGCTTTATTATCTCTTGCAAGGATCATAAGTATGGATTGAGTAAGAACCTAAAATGAATTGAAGTCCAGGGATATAGATCAGCTTCACAGCACCTGCCTCAGAAGTATGGGGTCTTGAGTTGGATTCCTGGTACAAAAAAAAATTAAAATTAATTGAAACAACATTTGCAACATTCTAAGGAGGAAGTTGATTTATACATAAAAGTTCTAAAGAAGTATTTCAAGACAATATCTAATTTATATTGTTCCATTAAATGTAGAGCTACTATAGAATGCTAAAAAACTTACATTTTGATTACTTGGAACCTTTTGTGGGGGTATGAAAGCAGATAGTGGAATCTTTAGAATTAGAGATATAGAGACACTGGTTTTAAGCATTCATCATTTTAAAACAGGTGTGAGTTATTTTTATCTCATATTTAATCTAATGTCTGGAAAAAATTATTCCAACATAAGGCAGATATCTGCATCTTTCAGTGTAAATATTTTGTTTACTGCTACTTAATGTAGCTTTATACAATTTTTAAATTATCTTACCATTAATAGTTCCATAATTTTAATAAGTAGTTCAGCCTAGCTTTCATTTTTTAATTTAAATTAGGTCTTTGGTAAATCCACTGATGAATAAAGTTAAAAGTTAAAACAAGTAGAAAAATACAGAAAGAAAGATTTGCAAAATTTGGAATCAGAAAAAGGAAAAATTAAAACATTCAGAGAAAATGTCGTAAATAAAGCAAGTAGAGTAAAATTAAATGTGAGTTTGTAGCTATTCCGGGTTTTAATATCATTCAAGTATGTTTAGTTCAGAAAATATAATGTAATCTGAGATAAATCTAATTCAAAACAACTTTCAGAATCAATTATAGATCTAACATATATTCTGCTTAGGTTTTAATGTCATATGACACAATTCATAGTCAATTAATATACTTGTCTTGGTTACTTTTTTCTCGCTGCTGGGACAAAATACCTGACTCCCAAAATTAAGGAAGGAAAGGTTTATTTCGCTTACAGTTCGTGGAAGTTTCAATCCATACTTGGCAGATTATAAGGCAGAGAGGCACGTGGCAGAGGGCTGCATCTCAGGAAGGCAGCACACAGCTAGCTGCAAGCACCCACCAGGGTGGAATGGGGGAGGAATCGCCTCAAGCACCCTTTTCCTCTCCCTTACATATGCAAACTATCCACCCCAGGGCAGGTGCAGCTCTCACACCCACAATCAACCAAACTAAAAGCCTGCCCCATGGTAGCATGAGGCTTTGGAGGGGACACACAGACATAAACCATAACAATACTTCAGATATTAATCTTATTTTTATTGTGAAAATACATTATATTTCCTCCAGTAAAAAACAATGAGATACTGCTTTTTGCTTATTCCTTTGGGTAGCTTTGTGAATATGAGATAAAATTCCCTAAATCTGCTTTAAAATATCTTACATACACTATGAAATGAATAAAAATGTTATAATTTGCCACTAGTTATTAATTAGTAGCCTCCCTGTTGTGCAAAATCTGCTTTAAATTAAAAAATAGCACCTCTTCTGAGTGAATGGTAATAAGCATTGCCATGACAGCAACCATATAACTTATGGAATCAGTCTACATGTTTGTCAGTGTGGAAAAACAAAATGTGGTATATTTACATAATACAGTATTATTCAGACAGTGAAGAACTGGACCTGATTATTTGCAGAAAAATAGATGGAATAGGAGATATTTAAGTTAAATGAATTGAACCAATCTCAAAAAGACAAATCTCTCATTTTTTTCTCATATGTAGAATTTAGGAAAAAAATTATGCCATTAAAATAAAAGGGAGACTATTAGGGGTGGGAAGTGTTGCAGGAAGAGGGGAGAGAGCAAATGAGAGGATCAGAGAGAGTAGATATTATAAAAGTTGGTTATGTACATGTATGAAAATGTCACAATAGAATTTATTTCTGATATATTTACTGTGCACCAATAATTTCAAGAAAAATGAAGTAACTTTTTATTCCTTGTTCTTTAGCTATTTTTTCTTTTAAATCAGCATATATACATAAGCAACTACATACCTCAAATTAAAACAAAAGGTCATAAGATAGCACTTTGAATGGTTATAAATAATTAAACTGTAAAATTAAATATACTTTATAATTTAACAATATATTTAATAATAGAATCCAAGGGGTTTTTATTGTGAAATGTGATGTTTGACACCTGTATCAATATCACTAGTAGTGCAATATAACCAAAGAATGTGTTATGATGGTATTAACCTTATATTTAAATTATGTTATTGTGACTCTTCCATTTTTATCCAGAAGTGATAATGGTATTAGCCTCTTCTTTAACTTTCAGATTATAGTATCATCTGGTTACATACTTCACTTAAAGTGCAATCGCTGATACTGCACTACCAATTAAAAACTATGATGTTAATGAGGCCAATCTAAAATTTTGCTAGAAGTGATTTTACCATTATTTTAACAGGTACCACTACAATTGAAAAATATGACCTCAGGACCAATAGTTGGCTTCATATAGGCACCATGAATGGCCGTAGGCTTCAGTTTGGAGTTGCAGTTATTGATAATAAACTTTATATTGTGGGAGGTAGAGATGGTTTAAAAACTCTGAATACTGTGGAAAGTTTTAATCCAGTGGACAAAATCTGGATGGTGATGCCTCCCATGTCAACACATAGGCACGGCTTAGGTAAGACTTTAATGTTATATTGTTACTTGTGAACTTATATTAGAGCTTTTAAAAATTAACTGAGGTATACTTTATTGAGATTTAGTAAAAATTTTAGTGAATTTCTTTTCCAAAGTGCTGTAAAGTTTAAACAAATGATAGTATCCTCTGAAACTTTAATTTTAATTGGTGCCATAATTGTCAGTCTTGCCTCCTTTCCCTCACTTTTCAAGAGAGTTCCAAATTAGGAAATGTAGCAACTTTTAGAAGGGTTATATTATTGAGGAACCCAAAAATGCAACAAGAAACTTTCTCCTCAACTCAATTTAGAGGATGATGGAGATGGATTGCATATCTTGATGGATGGATTACTTATCTGCCAACAAAAGGTAAAACCATGTCATCAACAGTGAGAAATTTTAGGGGCTGGGGATTTAGCTCAGTGGCAAAGCACCTGCCTGGCAAGTGCAAGGTCGTGAGTTCGGTTCCCGGTACCGGAGAAAAACCAAAAAAAAAAAAAAAAAAAACAGTGAGAAATTTTGATTCTGTTGAATATTTGTCTTCAAGAGAAAGTTTTTTCTGACTCTTCCTTCATAACAGACTCCGTATGTTTTAAATATCATAGTGTTTGTTGAAAACCGGTGTAATTGACTCTGAAAAATATAGTTTGAAATAGTTAAAAAGTGGCAGATCCAGGACTGATGTTTTTCTTGCCACCAATTTTCTTGATACAGTACAGTGTTCTTGCCAAATAATTCATGATGTAAGTATTCATCCAGTTATGTTTCTTTAATCCACACATATTGCTAGTAAGTCGTGTCTGGTAAAGAAATGAGAACAAGGTCTTGTCAATTTAATACATACCAGTAAAGTGATAATAGAAATGATGAGAATGTATCACTCAGAGGTTGGGTGGAGTAGTAAAGATGATGGTGTGTGTGAATTCCCAAAACACATAGGAAGCAGAAAGTAGCTGTTTATACTACTTAGCAATAAATTTCTAATAAAACCCTCAAAAAGCCATGTCTGTCCTTGAAATAGGGAGATAGATTTCTGGCAAATGAGAAGGGCACTAAGAAAAGGAAGGACCAGGAAATGGGAAGCAGATATAAAATGAAATTAGATGTGTCATGTATATGTACCAACTACCTACTATAAATGTACTCATCATATACTGCATGCATGTACTAATTTTTAAAATATGTGTACGTATTTATCACACTCACATCTTTTGTTATCCATACACTGAAAAACAGGAGTTGAAAAGATATATCACTTCAGCTTACATTGCATGATTTAGCTACGATTGAACACTGTATTTTATGTACTCAGAATTAAAAAATAAACAGTAATAAAGTTGTAAAGAAAAATTCAGCTTTCTACTTTCATTATAAACCCAGAAATGGTGCTGCATTTCACATCTTCTGATTACATTATTATAGCATTTATGCCACTTAGTGATACAATTAAATAAGATTAAATGTCTCTCAGGGATAGATGATCATACTTAGTCTCATATCAGATATAGGTACTTATTCATGCATACACAAATTATTTAATAAGAATACCAATTTTTGAATACTCAGTTGTTTGCAAAATGAAGCAATTTATATTGTATATGACACACGTAGATAAGTCTTTGTACTATTTTTGCCTTTAGGTGTAGTCACACTAGAAGGACCAATGTATGCCGTAGGTGGTCATGATGGTTGGAGCTATCTAAATACTGTGGAAAGATGGGATGCTGAGGGGCGCCAATGGAATTATGTGGCCAGTATGTCTGTTCCTAGAAGTACACTTGGTGTCGTTGCATTAAACAACAAGTAAGTCCATGCTCTTTCCTCTCAGTCATGTGGCACAGAAGTTCCATAACATAGTCCATTAAAGAATTATTTCAAATAAACAAGATATCCTTGTTCTGTTATACAGGCACTTTCTTGGAATTGGCCATTCCTCATGATGAAAAATATGTGTCTTAAATAAATGCATGAATAAATACTCTGTAGACCCTTGTTATTCAAAGTGTCTTACAACATCAGCATTTCTCAAGATACCTTTAGATGTGATAAATTGTAGACTCACCACAGATCTACAAAATAAGAACCTGTATTTTAAAAAGATCATCAGGAGATGTGTCCATAATTTGGGAAAATTCTTGCAGGCAATGAGTTCCTCAAGTTAACCTCAATTAACTTCAGGTTCACCACGTTACCTCAGTTAACCTCAAGTAAATAATATTTTTGCATGTTATGATTTACTCTCAATTTTTAAAATCATTCATCTGTCAATATTTTTTAAAAGATGGGTCCATTTTTTTAGCAGTCCCTTTCCTGAGTGTCCAGAGTTTCCAACTATAAAATCAGACAATGCTTTCCTCAATATTTACATCTTTTTGGCACTTCCTTGTGTGATCATGTTAACGTGCTAAACCTGATGATGCTACAGGTTGAATTATTACTGGGTAGTTATGTGCTTTTTTACAATGGATCTTTGGATGCAATGACCAGCATACAGAAGGACCTTGCATGATAAGAATTTCAGATAACAGAAGGGGTCAGTATGAGGACTAAGCCTTGTGTCTATATTGACCATACATGATAACAATACCTTACCATGTAAGAGTTCAGTAGAAATTGAAACATGGACAGATTTTAGAACCTTACACAAGGGGAAGTAGAAATGTTTGCTACTAAGAAGAGACATGTATTTGCAGTGTTTACAGTTTAAAGAAATCTCTTATACCTGATTGCATTTGGTGTAAGCTGAATTATGTCAGGTAATTGAGCAAAAGTAAGCTACATAAAATAGAATAAGCTGAAATTATGGATTTTGACTGATTGAGTTTTGTTTTCTCGAGTTGCTATTGCTCACAACTCAGCATGAAGACCAGTAATAGGCATATGGTTTAATGAATATTTAATACCTTTATTGCTGTTGGGTTAATTTTAAATTAGATTAAAATTACTGTGTGTTATGTACATGTACCAATTCCCCACAAGGAAAGTAAACATTATGTACTACACACATGAACTAATAAAATGTAAAAGAAACTTTCTGTGCATCAAAAGAATTGATGTTTTAAAGTTAATGGGGAAAATGTCATAAATAATATCTCTTTTAGAAAAACCCTAGCTTTTATATTCTGTCCCCCTAGTTGATTATGAACTTAATATAATTTTAGTGGTAAACATATTATGCTAAATAACTTACTTCACAATAATTGGACCTGCTTAAAATTGTAAGGATGTTGGTTTCGGTCTTTGAAAAAATCCTCTCAAATCTTTTGATACTTCACTCAATTTTCTCCATGTATTTCTCCATTGAATTGAATGTTTTTATCTAGTATGTCAAAGTACTTTCAAAAAATAATAAAACAGGGAAGTTGGTGAAGAATAGACTTTAACAGGTAGGACTGGATCAATACTGTGTCACAAAGTCAAATAATGAGGGAATAGAATATATAATCAGAATCCTCAGAAAATTGAATGTTTTAGGGAAGGTTGCTCTACTCTCATTTCATGTGTTTTGTGCCTGAATACACACACATACACAATAATATTTTCTAGGTTATATGCTATTGGTGGACGTGATGGAAGCTCCTGTCTCAAATCAGTGGAATATTTTGACCCACACACTAACAAGTGGAGTCTATGTGCTCCAATGTCCAAAAGACGTGGAGGTGTGGGAGTTGCAACATATAATGGATTCTTATATGTTGTAGGGGGTCATGATGCCCCTGCTTCTAATCACTGCTCTAGGCTTTCTAACTGTGTGGAACGGTAAGTTTTTCTTCCGTTTATTTATGTATGCAATCGCTTGTTTACTCATTTTTTTAAAGAAATTAGAAAGATTTTTAAACTAATAGAAAGTAGTATTCTAAATAAATATTAACCTTTTCAGTTGATTAATTCTCTATGAAAAGACACACAAGCTTAAGTATCTCATGCTTTCTCTTTTATGAGAGCCCCAAATTATAAATTAAAAGCAAAATAAAAGGTAATAAAAAGTAGAGAGACAGATCTTTCTCAGTTGGGAAGGGGATCAAGAGGTGAAGGAGGAAAGAGAAAAAGAGCATGAAAAAAGGAATTAAGGTGTGTTATGTACATTTACCAACTCCACACAATTAATGCAAATATTATGTACTGCAAACATGTACTAATAAAGCCAATCCTTATGCATTTTAATTCCAAAATACTTTATAAAGTATGACATATTGATGTACTATCGTCACATTATAAAATGAGACAAAAATAATGAATAAGGAAATTTAATTCTAAGCTATATTAATCAGTCAATGTACCAGACTCAGATCAAATTAAATTTACTTCTAATAGCAACCCTCAGAATAAAGACTTTATTACCACAAAATATACAGACACAATTACCAATGAAATATCATCATCACTTGTAAACAGTGATTATATTTCCAGAAGTATTTTTTCCAAAAATTGATTATTCGAGTGGGAAATATTCTTTTCTAAGAACAGTGTGACATTTTGATGAAAATAAATGCCAAATCCTTTGTAGTCACACCATTCACATTCCATTTTAAACTAAAGTGAATATATTCACAAAATACATTTCAAAATATAAACTTCTGATCAAATTACAAAGTTAAAGACAGTGAAGTTATCAGAATTCAAAAGACGTAAACAGTTATGGGATGATGTTCTTAAAGACAATTAATGTAATGTAAAAAATTTGTATTTTTTCGGCATGCAAAACTACTTAGGAATTTCTGGTGTAGAACAAAGCATGACTAAAAACATGGAGATAATGAAGGAGAAAGTTTTGTTGATTGAAGCAGATCCTTTGGTTTGAAATATAATTTGAAAGCACACTTCACACCACAACTCATGGTCAGATTGTCTTGTGGCCTAAAACAGCAAGGTGGATGCTTTGAGACTTTATAGACAGAGAAATTATTCAATTTGGAGGAATTTGAATATCATAAAAGAGCAGTTTGGAAGAAAAAGATCAAACAGTAATATAAAGGATAGAATACAGGAAGAAAACAGTGAAGGAAGATTCCTTTTTTTCCAGGGGAGCATACAATTGAATAAAACTTAATAACTTAAGCCAGTAGTGTCTTAGAGGAAATAACAGATCAGTCATAATTTAAAAAGTGATTCCTTCTGTAAGGCTGAGTAATACTATACTGTATGTATATACAACATTTTGTTTAACTGTTCATTCATCAATGGACAATTGAGTTGCCTCTGCCTTTTGGCTACTGTGACTAAAGTGGAAATGAATATAGTCAAAATAAAATGTGTCCAAAAACTTGCTTTCAAATCTTTTTAATATATACTGTACACGTAAGTGGTATTGCTGGATTACATGTTTTTTTTATATTTTTAAATTTTTAAAGGACAACCATGCTGTTTTCCAAAGTAGCTGTACAAGTTTTCATTCCCAGCAAGTAAAAAAAAAAGATCCAGTTTCTGCAGATTCTTCCCAATATTATTTCATCTTGTTTTTAAAAATAATATCCCTTCCAATGAGAATGAAGTGTCATCTCATTACAGTTATGATTTGAATTTACCTAATGGTCGGTGATATTGAGCTTCTTATGAGTGCTTTTGAACATCTAAATATATTCTTTAGAAGAATATCTATTCAAAACCTCTACATATTTTAAAAGTCAGGATATTTGTCTCTTTGATGTTGAGTTACAGGAGTTTTTTATATATTCTAGAAGTTAATTTCTTGTCAGATGCATAATTTACAATCAATTTCTCCTAGTCTGTGGATTTTCTTTTAACTATAATGGTATTGCCATCTCATGCAAAAACACTTTTAATTTTGATGACAACAAATTTAGCTATGTTTTTTCTTGACTGCACGTTTGTTGTTACATCTAAGGAATGGTTACCAAAAGTAATATCATCAAGCTTTTATGACTGTTTTCTTCTTTCAGTTTATTATTCTAAAATACTGTATTCATGGTTTTAATTGTTTTAGGTTAATTTTTATATATGAAATATAGATTCAACTTTGTTTTTGAATATAGATTCTCAGTATTCTTTTTGTTGAAAAGACTCCCTGTTCTCCACTGAACAGTCTTGAAATGATGGTCAAAAATGAGAACTTGGTTGTAGGCTCTGTTTTATTCAATTTGCCTTTTATGTCTTCTGTTATAAGTTACAAAATCCTTGGTCAGTATAACATTGTAATGAGTTTGGAAATAATGAAGTGTGGGATCTCCCAAATTATTTTTTCTCAATATTTCCTTGAATATTTTAAGTCCCTAGATATTTCATATTGACTTTTGATGGAGTTTTACATTTATGGAAAGTGTCACTGTTAAACAATGTGTATGATTAAACCTATGCAACACATTGTATAGTATTGATTTCTTAATAATATTAAGTCCTTAAATTCATAAACACGAGCTAACTTTCAACTTATTAATGAATTCTTTCATTTCTTACATTTCAATTTAGGTGCTATTAATTTATTCATTCATTTGTTTTGCTTAATTTTTCTGGTTAGAAGCTGCAGTGGTACCTTGACTTGAAATAGTGGAAGTGGGAAACTTATTGTGAATTTAGAGAAAAGAACTTGGAGGAAAATCTTTCATTTCTCTGTACTGACTATTGCTGTATGTAAGATTTTAGTACTATTTGAACAGAAGTGGTTGAAATGAGCACCTTGTTTTTTCCTGAACATAGAGGAAAGTTATTTCACTGTTAAGTGCAATGTTACCTCTGGAATTTCTGGTCATATAAGTAAGTTGTTTTAATGTCCTCATCTTGTAAATCAAATGCTTGGGTTGTTACAGGGAAAGTTTTTGTGTATATATATATATAATGTTATTTTGAATACAACTTTTTCTCTGTTCATACTGTATTTTTTGTTGAAAATTGGGAATTATAAAAACAAACCATCTCTCTGTCTTAGTTACTTTTCTCATTGCTGAGACAGAATATCCCACACTCAGTGTTAAAAGAGGAAATGTTTATTTCGTTCACAATTTTAGAAGTTTCAGTTCATATCAGCTGGCACCAAGGTAGACTGGCAAATACCAGAGGAATAAGAGTTCACGGCGATGGAAGATAGCAAAAGCAAGAGAAATATGGGAAGAGACAAGCCTCTTTTCCTCCCTTATCTTGCACGCAGGCTACTTGCCTAGGGGGGATATAGCATTCACACCTCCAGTCCCAGTACTATACAGCAAACCAATCACAAACTTTAGCTTAGCCACCTCCCCCATGACTGTATGAGGCTTTAGGGGCACAACCAGACACACATAAAAACATTCTTCTACCCTTAAAGTTTGATTTTGTGTATAAGAAGATGATCATTAACTAGCAAGTCATGAAGTTATGTTCTGTACCTGGGATTAGCCCAGCATAAAGACTTGATAATATCTATAATTCCTAAACATGTGTGTGTGTGTGTGTGTGTGTGTGTGTGTGTGTGTGTGTTTGATTCTGTAAGTGATGATTACTTTGTAAATATGTAAGTTTCCCTACAATCTTTAGTCCTCATGTTTTTAGAGTTTTAGATATTCTATTTCTCAGTAAGTAATCTCTTGTAATTATCTGTATATCTGTAGTATTGTCTGTTAACCATTCCATTTATTTAACATTTTTATAGGAGAATGAGGTCCTGTTCCTTTTATATTGGCATCTAACATCACTCTTTAATGTTATTAAAGTGACAAGAGCAGTAAAAAACCTAGTAAATTCAGTTTTAGTTTTGTGTATTTTTTAAATTAAGTTCATGGGTACATTTCAGGTATCCAATAATGATCCCATTCATCATAAGGAATTTGTACCTGTTCGTGATATACCTTGATTCTTCTTTTTTTCCCCATTCCACTCCCCTCCTTTCAACCTCTCTTCCTCTCATTATTTACAAAAGTTTTGGTTCCATTTTTCATCATTTTTCTTCTTTTTCTTCCAGCTTCCTTCTTTTTCCCCTCCCCCCTACCTAGTTCCCCTTTCCATTTGAAAGCTTTCTTCCTATTTCACAATATCTACTATACATCCTAGTCCTTATGTACAATTTTGGTTTCTTACAAAACAGAAACTATGCAACATTTACACATTTATGTCTGATTTGTTTTACTTAATAATATGGTCTCAATGTGCATCCCTTTACCCAGATATTTTTTTCCTTTTTTTGGTACAGAGAATCAAACTCAGGACCCTGCACTTGCCAGGCAGGCACTTGTGCCGCTGAGCTATATCCCTGACCCCTCATTTACCCAGAAATGTCTCAAGTTTATCTTTTTTTTTTTTTTTTGGTTTTTCTCTGGTACCGGGAACCGAACTCACGACCTTGTGCTTGCCAGACAGGCGCTTTGCTGCTGAGCTAAATCCCCAGCCCAGGTTTATCATTTTTTATGTCTGAGTAGTACACCATTATATAAAAAAGCTGCATCTTTTCTATCCATTAATCAATTTATCAGCATTTAAGCTTTTCCCAAGGTATAGCTATTACAAAATGTGCCCCTATAAATATGGGCAATGTATCCCTACAATATGATGCTATTAATTCTTTTGGGAAGATACTAAAAAGGGGAACAGCTGAGTCAAATAGAACCTCTAGTTTTAGGTTTTTCAGGAATCTCTACACTGTTGTCCATAATGGTTACACCAGTCCTCACTCCCACCACCAGTGGAGAGGGGTTCCTCTTTCCTCACAGACCCACTGGGATTTATTCCTGGTTGATTTCTTGATAATAATCATTCTTTCTGGAGTAAGATCGATCTCAGCATTGTCTTAATTTGCATCTCTCTAATGACCAGTGATATTGAACATTTTTGCA